TTCGGTCTTAGTCTTTAGACATATTCTACTTATTTCCGTGTGTTGCTTACGATTTTTGAGGTATGATTTTAGGAGGCTGAGCACGTTTGTTTAGTAGTATCTCGTGATTGACACAATCAAATGCTTTCGTCATATCTGTTAAAATTGCACAAATAGGTATTCTTTTGTCTACGTTTTTCATAACCGTATTTAACAAATCATAAATTGTTTTATTTATACTTTTGTTCTTTCTAAAACCTTTTTGTTCTTTGCACAAAATGTCATGTTTGGATAGGAACTTATTAATTGATTCATAAATTACTTTTTCTACTACTTTAGAAAATACAGGTATTAAGGCTATTGGTCTGTAATTAGCTATATCCTCCTTATTTTTATTTTTTTTGTCTAGCGGTTTAACTACAATTGTCTTTAGGCTATTGGCAAATACACCGGTAGTAATGCTTATATTTACAATGTGGGTAAGATGTACTGCTATATTATTTGCCACAAATTTTACAACTTTTGTAGCTATACCATCATACCCAACATTACTTTTGTTTTTTAAAGACATTATTGCTCTAATAATATCTTGAGGTAATACTGGAGCCATAAACATTGAGGTTGAGTTTTTTATTACGTTACTACTTTCATGTAATAGTACAGGTGAAATCGGAGTCTGGTCAATAAAGTAGTTATTGAAAATGTTAGCAATTTCTTGAGGATCTGCAATAACTGTATCATGCAATCTAATTTGGCAGATGGGGTCATAATTATGTGTTTTATTGTTTATGACTTGCCAAGATGCTTTCGACTTATTGTTTGAAATTCTAATAAAGTGGTTACTCTGTGCCTTTTGAGTCAATTTAACAATTTTGCGAAATCTTTTAGAGTACTCTTTAAATTTGCTTTTATTTTCACTACTTTTCTTAAGTCTGTACTGCCGTAAAAGGTAACGTTGCATTTTACTGCACACACGTATTCCCCGTGATACCCATTTGATTTTTTTGTTGGTTTTGATGGTGACAGATTTATAAGGAAAACAGAGATTATACAACAACTGAAAGTGTTCCAAAAAAATATCATATGCCTCGTTTGCGTTTTCCGTATTATATATTTCTGAGAACGTCAGACAACTTAAATAGCTATTGAATTTGATTAGGTTTTCCAATGATAAATCACGTATCCTTATACGCCAAGAGTTTAATCTTAAAGTTTTATTGACTTTCATTCGCAGTATTTGCGCCGTATGATCAGACAGAGCAAAGTCTATTACCTCACATTGACATTTTGAACGAGAGTTGTGTGCAAAATTATCTATACATCTGTTACTGCATAGCCTAGTTGGTTGCCTCAGTTCCAGCCTAAGATTATAGCCCAATAGAAAATATTCGAAATCTAGTGTCATTCTGTTCCTCGTTAAGGTATCTATATTGAAGTCCCCACATAGAACAATTTTTTTACTTGGATTCTTACAACATGCTTTCATGACAGTTTCTAAAGTGTCATAAAACATTTGCAGATTATTTGAATATGGTGGCCGGTATAAACATATTATGATCAATTGTATGTTAATTAATTCAATAGCACAACATTCCAGGACGCCCGTGATTGAGTATCGCGCAATGTCTGCTAGCTCCTTATACTGTAGATTTATTTTGACTAGAATGCAGGCTCCTCCTCTCTTACTTGTCTTCCTTGCGTAACATGCTGCGAGCTTATAGTGTGGCATCTTTAACAGTTTTTCTTGACCAAGCAAAATAAAATGCTCAGTGATGCACACAACGTATATATCTGCTTGTTTATAAGCTAGTTCCTGAAGATGAACAGTCAGCATGTCTGATTTGTTTAAAAGGCCTGCAATATTTTGGTGTAGTATTTGCACTTTATCATAGAAGAAAAAACTCATTGCTTCTTCTCGTATTGTTATCTTCAGTTACTACCGCATGCGCAGCAACACGTGGTGCGTCATCATAGTAATTTTCACGTAACAATGACTGCAAGTTTTGGAATATGTTCCTGGTACCATTGTTACTTAGCCTGCCAGTGCGCTCTGATAACATGGAGTAGTCATTCGATAATGTCAAGTTAGAGTCCGGCAATATAGCATAGTTATGAGTCTGAATATCCAAATACAGCATATTATTAAACGTTTCTACTCTCCAATTAAACATTGCTGAGTAATAATTACATTTGTAGGTGGGCAGGCAGAGTATTAGGTTTGTGTGTTGTATTGTTCTTAAAGTTTCTCTCAAGTGTATAACGAGATTGTAATAATTATTTGTTTTACGAAAATCTTCCTCTCCTAACAATATAACACAGTAGTCATTCTGCGTATAACTCGTTAGTTTTTTGTGTATATTGTCAATAAGTGTTTCGATACTGCAACTGGGAGTAAGGTAATGACAAATTTGAAAGTTTTGGATGGTTTCTGTTGCTATTTTATTTGTCTTATTGCTGCTTATGATACAAACTTTCCTTACTGGCAATGTTGTTTGTTTTAATTTTTTTTCATATGGAGTTGAGGGCCTAATATTATCATCAGTAGGGCTCATGTGAGTATATGCACCGTGTAACTGATGTTTATCCAATGTTTGAGAACGATGCCTTAGTGAAGTAGTTAAATTTTTTGTACCCTTTTTATTTGGCGTACTTTTTATTTCACTAGACAGTATTTTACTTGCTTTTTTGACTAGTTCATGTTTCGTAGTCATGTTTTGAATTGACTTTTTTAAGTCCATATTTTCTAAAGACAAATTGTTAATTTCGCTGTGCGCCGCCTCTAATTCAAGTTTCAGCTTCTCTATTTCACTTTTTAAATTTTGTATTTGTTCGTCGTTGTCATCGTCGGAAATATTTGGTAGACTAGTAACGGTGCCATCTAGTGTTGAGTTGTTACAATTAGTATTGCTTTCGTTCATTGAATTATCAGTCAACGATTGGGTCCGAGGTCGCTTCCTCCTCCGAAACGTTATATTTTCGAAGAACGCCATCTTTAGATTTTGGATGATGAATATGTGTGACTTAAGATAAAGTTTTTCTGTGTCCCAGATTGACTGTCTTCATTTATTTAGTGTCTGTAAACACTGACAGACTACAAAAAGTGTTGATGTTCACCAGGATGCGAACCCGAGTCCCCGGCGTTAGCCTTAGTCTCGTTACTGACTGGGCCACAGTGCTTACAATCTGAGCAACGAAATTGGTAATCATATACTGCATTTTATTCCGAGAGTTCATTATGATGACTAATGCTAAAATAATTTTTATCAACATTTTTGCACTGGCACTTCATTGTTCTGATATCGTATTTTTCTTGTTTTAGCAAATTGTTATAATATGTACATGTTATAGTGATTGAATGTTAAAGGTATGTTTTGACACTGATTTAGGTACGATTTTAGACACTTTCATTTTATTTTAAGCACTTATCTAAGTTAACATTTTAGTTTTTTTATTTACAAGTTTTGCTCGAAATGGTTCAATATTTCACATAGATAACACGTACACTACTTTTTAGCACTGATTACAATGTTTATGTCACAAAATTAGATTAATTAACGTGAAATTAATATTTACAAACTATAATAACGCGGAGCGCGATGTAAACCTCGCTTGGCCCTTCTGATGGTTTGCGGGACGCGGGGCGGGTAATGCGCTCGGCTATACATGACACGATGTACTAACTCGATATCTTCAGATTTATTTGTTTGAGATTTAATCTACACACGATGTAATAAAAATCTAATTTATTTCCATGTATTATAATGTCAGTGTATTGTAAGTTTTTATGATTAATTGTAAAATATAATACTGTAAAATAATTTTAATAAAATCACCTTATCTTCATCATGTAAATGATATTCAGATACAATTTAAAAATTAAGTAAAATAATAAATATTCTTTATTAGAACTTTAACAACTTTAACAACAAAAACTTGAAGTTCGGCTTACAGAGGTTCTACCTCTGTAAGCCGAACTTCAAGTTTTTAAATCTTTTGTGACGGTTTTTTTGTGAGTCGGCAGATTAGCCATATTGCAAAATAATACCGTGTGTAGCAGTCTTAAGAAAAATAACACGTACAGCCATGCTTTCACGTCAGTCACTGCCGGCGGACAGCGACGCACTAGCTAATTGGTTGAATGCACCCCTGCCCCGCGTCCCCCAAACCATCAGGAGGGCCAAGCTTACGGTGGTTTAACTATAATACTGTAATCGTAGCTTTTTAATTTGAATTTGTATTTATATTTCTTCGTTACTCAAATCTTTGAGCTGAGTTTAAAGATGCTCTTGACTAAGGTGAAATGTTCACCATGTGTGTGAAATGTAACTAAAATAATGATATGATAACGACTCATTATTGTTTCAATTTCGATGGTGTGATTAGAAAGAAAAATCCCTCCATTTCAAACTTTACTAAGAAAGTAACGATTTTATTGATTAGCCGTAAAGACACTTGACTATCTCATTTGAAATATAGATTTATAATTAAATTATGTAATTAATGTGAAGACCTTGAGAAAAATGATAAGAAACTTGTTTCGACGAGCGGGGCATACTTTTTACAGTGAATAATGATATCAGTTATTGAAATTGCAACTGCTTCTTTTTTTGCAGACAGTGGTATTCTTCTTAAATATATTCCTCAATGCTGGCTATCGACATTCGCTGGGCAATGATCGTAACGTTACCTTTTTATTAAATAATTTTATTTATCATTATAGACAGCACTGATGAATGATAAAACTCGAAAGAGTATATGTTGCCTTTACATAAATATTATTTACATAACTGGGTATTCTGTTAATCAAATAATAAAGAAATGCAATGCTTTTTCTAAATTTTATTTATTGAAAAACAATATTTATAAAGTGGTAGCTTAGGAATGTAATGTCGTAATGTTATTTCCTTTTCATTCTCAGCAAAATTTTACTTTCGGAGCGTATAGAGTTTAGATACTACTAAGTCCAATCTTGTGTAGGACACAGACTGTTGTGTATTCATGTAAATGATAAAAATGTTGTATTATTCCAGCTTCCATTTCAACAGTTCTCGAAAGTCTTTTAAGCCCGGTTCGTTTACAGTCTTGCATAGTGGCAGTTTCGAACATCTTTGAAACCAGGCCCAAAGATTTACGTACCTGAGAAATAAAAAAATCGTATTCAAATTTAAAAAACTGCAACATTTATAATTATTCTACGTTTACAATATCAGCAATATTTTAATCCTCTCTGAAGCGAGAGTCTCTATAAAGCGAATCATCAATCGGTACATATATTGCGCATGGTCCAGCACCGAAATGTACGTTCACTTAATGATTCAACAAGTGATAATTCATATGGTAGAATGTAAGGTTTCTTGTCTAAAGGAAGAATTCTATTTCTTTTAATCTTTTTCGTACACGTTGGTGTCTCTTTAATATTATCTTTTGCATGGGAAGGCATGATGCAGATGCATAACGGTTGCAGAACATAACTGATCCGATAAGCGCGTGCATGTCCTTGTTACTTTTAATCACCATCAATCGGTACAGAATTTAATTTAACGTGATCTTACTTATTTTGATCAATCGGTAGTATTTCATTCATGCAACTAATAGAGGTGATACAACAAATATCAGCCAACGTCACAACGTCACCAGCTATCCAGTTTGATGTCAAAAGTTTGTCAGTGAACTCGTAACCGCTCTGAATTTTTTTTAGACTTTCCTCTTTAAATTTTTTCTCACCCCAATATAAAACAGGTTCCTGCGAAAAAAAAAAATTGGCATGAAAGTGAGAGACCAGTACTCCTGTTACCACTGTGTCATTTATAGGTCTACGCAAGTAAAACATTTTACTAATGTTCTAAATATATAAAATTTTAAGTTGGTTTGTGTATGCTTTAAAAAGTACTGGACGGATTGAGCTCAAATTTCGACACAATGTACATCCGGCTTCAAAGATTGTTTTTATCTATTTTTCTAGTTGTTTTGCTACTAATTTCTCATCAATGCGACTACAATGTGCTACAGAAAAGAGTGGTAGGGTACAGCTAGTATCTCTGAAATGTTAAAGCCATAAAATTTATCTATGTTTCTTTTTTGTTAGCGATTTTTTTTGTCCGAGTCATTATTATGTCCAACTAATGATTATGTCCAAATGTTTATTACATCTGGGTCATTATAGGATTCATTATTCAACAAATGTTTGTGAAATAATGTTATAGGTATTATACTTACAAATGCACCACGAGCTGCCGGGAAAAGTGTTCCAGTATCGAAATGTAAACGTTGATCCACAATTGCTCTTTTCTTAGGATCTTTTGGGTACAGACTGTCATCATCTCCATAGACAGTTACCAAGTAGGTACATATTGCATGACTAGGAAACAAGAGTAGGTATTTAAACATCAAATCGATTTCAAGTCGTCACTTAGGAGTTGAAGGTATTATTTGGATTAAAATTTGTGTGATAAGAAATTACAAGCATACTTTATCAAATTTACAGTCAAGGAATTTTCCCTAAATAATAGGTAGATATGGAAAAATTCTATGATAATAATAATAATCAAAAAATGATTCCAATTTTATGATAAAATAGTTATCTAACCTGTCCCATACCACGAAGTCGTCATCCTTCAACATCGGTATGGTATGTAGCGGATTTAGCTGTAAATTAATTTTAGACTTCAGTATATTTTGAAATCAGATTAAATAAGGTATATCAGTTGTTGACAATAGTTAGTGTTGAAGACGATGCTTACACGAAGATGAATTATAGAAACACTTGAAAGATATTTTCTTTCACAGATGTTGTGCCTCGAACTAACACTTTGAAATAAAATGATATAATTTGTAACGGTTGTTAGCCCCCGTGATGGTAAACATTTTACCTCATCTTACAGCATCTCAACACAGTACATAGAAAACTGTTATTAATGCCGTAATTTTCGTTACAATAGGCACCCAGCCTGTCCTTTTAACATCGTTTGAATAGTTCGGGTGTGTCTAGATAAAACTTAATTAGAAAACTACAACTGAATAGAAAGTAGTTTTAGCTGTAAATTTCTCGAAATAAGTTGTCTAATAATTATAATATAATTTAAAATTCCAACAGAAGTGGTTGAGGACTGCCTCCTGATTTCAGCGCTCTTTACGTCCTGAAAATATCAGGAGACGTCGTTTTACTCTTGGTAAAGACATGCTGTCGGTTCCAAAACTAGCTGGATATCCCCAAATTACACACGGGGATAAAACCTTGCTGATTAAATTTTTGTTACTATGGCCCGGGATGAGGTGTTATTTTTTTGTATTTAAGAATTTTTAAAGAGCTTTAGAAGAGAAAACAAACTGAACAGAAATAAACTTTGGGAAAACTTGTGACAAATCCAATACCAAATCGCATGGCCAGGGTGGTATAGTAGGCCAAAACTTCTTTTCTAAGGAGAGGCCTATTTTTAGCAGTGGACTGAATCAACCAATCTGTGGAACAAGTCTGGGGTATTTCAATACGACCTTCAAACCTTCAAGAAAAGAGCGTACTCCTTTCTCAAACTCCTTAGCATAGCGCATAGGCATAGCGCTTGTAACTTATAAGCTGCATGCGTTCATGGTCGGTGGCAGACGCTGTCTATCAGGTGACCCGTCTGATTATTTGCCCCCTTTTCCCCAAAAAGAAAACAAAATGAAAGGATGTTCATAATGAAACTATTGTAAAACAATAAGTTTAATTTTGAGAATGTTTATAAAACGAAGGAAAAATAGATAAACGAGTGTAGAGTTTTGGCAGCCAATAAAACATGTAGAAAGGTAGTCACGAGTAGAATTCACCAATTTAACCTTCTACGTAGTCAGCCGTCGTGAAGCCCGGTAGTCAATATGACTTAAAATGGACGTAAAAATCACCACTTATTAGTATAACAATTTTCAATGTTGACCCGTAGCGAAAATATATATTTTTAGCGCTGTCAACTTTCTCGGCTGATATGCGAACCGGATTGGTTTTTGGTTTGTGACAAGTGAGTCGCCACAAATACTAGATATATTTCAGAAGCTATGACCGTTTTTTGGGACAAATATGCAGTTACAAAGAACTTGTGTTAAAATATAATAATACTCGTACCTTTTGATATTCTTCTGTCAGATGTTCACCTTCCAATAATTTTACATCTATATATTGCACGTCTGGGATCTTGAGTGCCTCAATTGTCATCAGAACAGCTCTTGCTGGAGGGCTGGCATTTATTTTGTAAAGAGTAAGTACCATTGTCAATCAAATCTGAACTGAAAAATAGAATAATTTAAGATATTAGAAAATACTAAAGGGCATTGGATGAGTAGAACTCTGAACACTAAAGCTTACTGCTAGATTTTACCTTATATTTGTACTTTTTTTAAAGTAGGTTAATTTAATCTAATACTGTAGCACAGGGGCTGTATGGCGATCGAAATAAGTTTGTTTTTTCGTGGTCCTACTCTTTTGTCCTACTAGTAGGACAAAGGTAATCTTAAATATAAAATTCTCGTGTCACAATGTTAGTTACCATACTCCTCTGAAACGGCTGGACCGTTTTTTATGAAATTTTGTGTGCACATCGGGTAGGTCTGAGAATCAGCCAAAATCTATTTTTATACCCCTAAATGACAGGGGTGACCCACCCCTTAATTTTTTTTTTTTAATATTTTCTTGAAATAATGTATGTGGCAAAACAACGTTTGCCAGGTCAGCTAGTTGTATATAAAATAGAAGAAAAACAGTCATGACAGACAGATGACAGTTGGCATGGAGGTACGTGTGTAGCCTTGTTTTCTAACAAGTACATAGATTTTTTTTCTTGTTACGAGATAACTTTTGTTGTAAACTTTATTTTTTCTTGGGAGAATGAGCCTACAAATTGGTCATTACTAAATATTCTGGACAAATTGCTAAAAAAGATGAATATGATGATGATACTATAAGTACACTAAAATAGGCTAAGTTGATGTCTGTCATGTGATTCCCTTTTATCTGAAAAATATGAAAAAAAATGTTGTGTTGTGTATGATAGGGTACGATAGGGTTGGCGTATTCTTGTGGATCGAAAATCCCATATTAAAATAAATAGAAAACAGAGTGTGTTGTCCACCTCCAACGCACGCCTGAAGCTTACTTACACACAAGTATACAAGTAATACACACACAGGTGAAAGGTGTGCAATATAGGTTGACTAAATGTTGACTAAATTTTACTCTTTATGTTTTTTTCATACCGGGCGTTATATAAAATCGATTCTTAAGGAATAAACGCCGAAAAATGTATTATAAATGAGAATAAGCGAACAGACTGTGGTTTTTTTTTTTGTTTAATATAACTTGTAAATGTTTTATGTGCTTACTTTAATAATAATTAATACTAACCATTTACTCATTGTTTTGCTATCCTCTTATCTTATATATCTTACATATTATTATGGCGACAAGACGACTTGTATTGAAAAAAATAATTATTATATATAATAACCTAAATTTGTAAAATAAGTATTTAGTATCATCCTGATCGAGCGAAATTATATCGAGCACTGAATCTGTTTCCGAATCTAGCGCAAATTCACTCTTGTTTATACACACATGTTATCAACTGTATTATCGCTTACCGATCAATACGATAAAAATATTCCTGGCATTTGATTTAATCGAAATCAAATTATTACGCATAATTGACGCGCGCGACTTCGTCTGCGTCTCTCAAAAGGAATAAAATGTTTTTGCAACATTTTTCAATGATACTTGGCTCCTATTGGTCGTAGTGTGATATTAAATCCTCGATAAACGGGCTATTCAGAAAGAATTTTTCAATTCGAACCAGTTGTTCATGAGCTAACCCCAAATTTACATACTCCCAACTTTATCTCTATATTAGTATAGATTAGATACTTTATTGCCTGTGTTACGTAATAAACATTAAGCTCAAGTACTAATCTTACTACTAGTACCTAGTAACACCGGTAATTTATATTGCTCTTCTTACTGCTGAAGTTGAAAGTTGTTAGAATACCAAAAATAATTTGCCTGTGTTACTATGGTAACATTAAAATAACAAAACCAAATATCACAAATTTGTATTTTAAACAAATTGTAAGTATTATGCTTATGAAAGAGTGACGTTGTTGCATTTTGTTATATTTTAAATTACTAATTAAATGTAAACTGTTCCTTTTAATTTAGTTAAGGATTCATTCGTGAAACATGTTGTTATTGATCAAGGTGTAATTACAGTAATAATACATTGACACAAATCTTTATTCCTTACTTCAATCTTCAAAAAAAGTACTAGTATATTTAATCAACCAACATTTTACGAGTATAATACAAGGTTACAAACAACCAGCACTTAAGTTCAAACTACTCGTAGTTTTTTACGCCTCTATAGATACTTATTCCAATGTATCTAGAAGCATGCCATGGTCTTGGTAATGATCTCATTTTCGATAAATCTATAAAAAACGTTTCTCAGTAGACATATCGAGGAACTGTTTACCAACCAAATTGGAAATAAATTAATTAACGAATTTCATAAAACAGGTCGAAATATCTTACGACATCTATCTCCATACTACTACAGGTTATATAACAAACATACTTTTTATTTTGATTAAAATTACAATTTTCATAGGTGCCAGAAAACGCTTACTTTCGAAAAGTCAGTTATTAATAAAAAGTTTACAAAATACCTTAGCTCTGAGAACGTATTTTCTCTCCAATGCCCGGACGCAGTATGACCATGAACAACGTAACTGGTTTGTAAAAACTGTTACGTTTGTGATGTACTTAGGAGTATAATTGGATGCGGCAGTTTCAAAACAAATTAACTTTATAGCTGAAACGTCTGTATACTGTAGCTCGTTTTTTAAGTCCTTGAGATTAAACTGACATTGATGTGCCACTATCAGAAATTAATGTTAATAAAATCAAGTTATCGCTTTTTTAGCTTAGCTTTAGCTTCACTTGTATGTTTGTAACCGACTCCTTTGGGCGTGATTTTGACTGACTTTAAACGGTCACAATTCGTCCAAACTTTGTAGATATATCGAGGACCGATGACAATACACTAACTAAAAAAAATAAAAAAAATAAAAATTATAGTTTAAAAAAACAAAAAAGCACCCTTTCCATAGAAAAACAAACTAAAAAATAGAAAATAAATTTGAAAAAAAACGTGGGGTGCTTTTTACTATTGACAACAGGCATCCAACGTTTTTTTTTTTAGTTTAGTTAGTAATTTATTTCTAAATTATTATGAAAAATATGTAGGTAACTTATTTAAAACGTAATAATACAAAATTATTAAGGCACAAATGTTTATATATAATATTTTTATATCTTTTAAATATTTTTAGAAAGAATGGCCTGAACTCAATAATTATTTAAATACAGCTTATAGCCTTAAACAGTACAGAGACATATATAAATATCATATTCATTTTAATTTGAGTTTTCATGTACCCTAAAAAGGATACTTGTGATCAGTGTCACAGTTTTAAACACAACACAACAATGAAGAACTGGGTAAAAATACAGCTAACAACAAAGTTTCTTGGACAGGCATAAAAGAACAAAGTTACTTGGACAGGCATAAAAGAAGAGTTAGTGTTGATGGGACTCAGAGCAATAAAATCTGATGCAAATATGCTTTATCTGATGATTACATGACTCTTGTATGTACTTCCAAGGGTGACAATACTCCAAGCGTACATAAAGCTTATATGGGTCCAATTCCAATCAGTACTGATAAATATAAGAATCTTACCAGTCTTTGCAATTCCTCACTAACACCTACCAAATACCATAACTTTTTCAGAAGCTTAATTCATGGACAAGTTTCTGATGATAACGATTGTTTTATACTGTTTGATTACTTATTAATATTTCTAGTTGCTAAATAGTTACAGTTTTGATCTCGAAAGTTGTGAATTTTAAGAATTTATTCATTATAATAAATATTGTTACTTTTCTATATACCTATTAGAATGATTGTGATGCTATATATAGCCTTGCTTGTAAATTATTAGTTTAAGTTTTTGGATTAGTAATTTACCAAAAAAGTTATCAGCTCCAAATAGCTCTAATATTATAGTATTTTTTAGTGTAAGTGGTACAGAAATAATGCTGTTGGTAATTTCTTAACTTGAGCTTAATGATTATTAAATTAATTAAAAAAGAGTGTGTTTATACTTAATTTACCCTACTACCCCAATCTTATCATATCAAGTCACGATATCGAAATACGAGTAAGTTGATAGAACATGATCGGAAAATAACCACTGTCATTCTTTAAACAGTAACTATCCGATAAACATGTCGAATAATACTATGTGACTGTGTTGACTCCAAAGTAAAAAGAAGCATGTAATTTTTCTAGATTATTGTATACTTATTAGTTTTTATTTTTATTCCATTTTAAAACGAACCCTTTTTTCACGGCCATGACAATTTTCATAATTAGGTACAGAGTAAGAATTTCAAAAGTTATGTCTACAAAACTAATATAATTAATTAAAATGGCTACCCCACGTAATAAATGTCAGATCCGTCACAATTCTACGACTATGACGATTCAAAGACGTGATGAAAATGAAATTACGTAATATTGTAACATCTGTAATTGTTGTCGACCTGCCCGCGAACTACAATAATACCGCATCTAAAGTTACCTTCATTAATGTCTTATTTTATACCTACAATACACATGCTATCAGCCTAGCTGGTCTTTATGACGATAAATCATCATACCGTGTAGTGAACGTCGATTACGCGCTTAAATTGAGATAAAATTACTTATCTAAATATTTTACTCTATTTTCGGAATGTGTACATTTACCTCTTGTTAAAGTTAATTTGTTTACGATATCGATCAATATGCAGTGTTCAAATAAAATATTTTTTTAGCGTATCAGCACCTGATACGCTGCTGTGTGTATTCATAGTATTATTGTACTAATGTAAGATTCCTATCCTGTATTTAAAGGTCCATGATAATATATTGCATTCACAATAACCTCTTGTATGTTGAATGACATTAGCCCATTTTGCATTACCTGTTATACCGGGAGCCGGTATGGTCAACAGACAGCCCATTTTTGAGATAGACTTTTACTGTAACTGGATTTTCTCCGTATCTAGTTGGAATCAAGTCAATTCAAGTTAAAAAATCTTATTGGAAATTGAATAATCTTTATTCACTTTCAACCATTTCTATATATAAATACTCAATTATAGCTAACATAGAACTTTCAACATAGGGTACTATGATATTTAGATAAGTTTCGGTTATAATTTTAATTACAACAATATTTGGAAGTTCATAAAATATTTTATTTACAACTTATCACATTAGGTATAAAATACAACTCAAACTTCAAGTGCCACCATACATATTTTTTACACAACACATGTTCTTAATATAGTCACAAAGAACTGCCACTTAACAAGTCCTCAAAAGTGGGTATAATATTTCAACCTAATTTTAAAATGACTTTTAAAAAATGCGTTTATAAAAATTTAAGATCCGTTTTGTTAATTAGAAATTTTAAAGGGGGTTAAAAACTTTTGGGAAAAATTACAAAAAAAACGGAAAAAGAAACAAAGGTTTTTTAATTTTTAATATTTAGTGGGATTAAAAACAAAAAACTCAAAAATTTTTTGGGTTCAAAAATTAAAATTAAGTTAAAAATAGTTTTTTTTGGAAAAAAAAAATTGGGCAATTTTAAACAATTTTTTTTTAAGAATTTTCCCCTATATTTTGTTTTTAAAACTAAAAAAATTCAAAAACCCAAACTTTTCTAAGGGAAATATTTTCAAATTTTTAATTGATAAAAAAGTAGGTAAAAAATGTTTTTTTGGAAAAACCGGGGTTAAAAAAGGGGAACGATTTTCCCGTAAACAAATTTTTTGGAAAAATTTTACGATTTTTAGTGTTTGTTTTTTTTTATAAAAGTTTTTTAAAATTTTTTTTAAATTAAAAAAAGGGGTATTGAGTTTGCTTTTTAAAAAATATTTCCACGGGGGTAGGTAAAAAAGGGAGCGGCACATTTTCGGTAAAAAAAGGTTTCAGTTTTTTTTAAAAAGCCCTTAACCAAAGTCCCAACCGAAGGCCCACAAAATTTTTTTCCCCAAAAGCTAAAATTAAAAAAGTTTTTGATAAATTTTTTTAATGTTTAATAGTTGAAATTTACAAAATTTATTTAAAAAACTTTTATAAATTTTTGTTTTATTTTCAAAAAATATATTCCCCCAAATTAACTAATAAAATAATTTTTCAATTTTTCCCTGATTTCGTTTTTTTATTGTTTTTAAAATTTACAAGGGGAGGGCCAAAGCATGAAAATTTCTTGGGGGAAATTAAAATTTGGGAAATTTTCCTTTCTAAAATAAGGTTTTGAACTGAAAATCCCAAAAAAAAATTTTGACCGGCCCCGGGGCGGATTTTCACTTTTTTTTCCCCAAAAATTTGGGGCTAAAAAATTATGATAAAGATAGAATTTTTATGGGGAACCTAGGTTTTAAAGAAATAAAAGTTTTACTTTCCCCCAAATCATTAATAAATTTCACCCTTAATTGTCCTTCCTTTCACGTTTGGGGAACAAAAAAATTACCTTTCCTTTTTCCCCTAAGGGGAACCAAAAAAGGGTTTATACTCCTGTGGTTTTCCTAAAAGTACCTTCCAGGGTTCGTTTGGGGATTTGTTCGTTAAAGGGGAGTGTTTCAAAGGGGTGAACCCCTTGGGGCCCCGAAAATAATGTGGACCAACTTTTTTTAAAAATTTTTTTTTAAAAAAACCAAAAAAAAAAGGATTTAAAAAAAATTCAAAAAAAAATAAAAAATTTGAAAAGGGCTCCCTTTCGGGGGTTCCAATTTGGGCCCCCGGCCGGCGTTGGGCCCGGTTTCGGGGGGCGAAAGGGGGTTTCCCGGGGGGGGAATTGATCCCTTTTTCAAACCTTTTTTAAAAGGTTTTTGGGGAAAAAAATTAATGCTCCTAAAAAATAAAAACTTTAATTTTTCCTCAGATCCTCAACTAAACTTCCTTTCATCATTTTTTTTGTTCAAAATTCTTCACGTGTTAAATAATTAATTTTTAGGGGAGGGGGGTTTTATAAATTAAAACAAATATTATAAAAAAGTATCTAAAAAAAATTATTACTTTCCATTTTTTTCAAGATTCGCGAATTTTCCTTTCGCCCCCCCCAAAGGGGGCACCAACCAAAATAAGTAAGCCCCCTGGGGAAATCCTTAGTTTAAAAAACCCCTTTTTTAAAAATTTTTTAACAAAAATTATTTTTTGGGCTTAAAAAACCAAAAAAAAACCATTTTTTTTTTTTTTTTTTTAATTTTTTTTTTTTTTTTTTTTTTATAATATTTCAGCCTCATTATTTAACTCCTTCTCCTCGATTTTTGCATCTCTGCAGAACTTATGCTACTCGTAAAAAGTCATAGGTTTAAAGATTTCATTCATAAGATCTTCGGGGTCAAATCGTTCGTATCAACCGAACGTTTTCTGACCTGATCGGATGATCTAATCTTTCTAGATTATCGAATATTTTATTTTTTAATTCAAGCGTTTATTATCAGTTCAGCATGTTTTGGCAAAGAATCAAAATAGCTGAAGCAAAACTAATCAAATCGCAAGTTCAGAATGTTGTGAATATTATAGCATCCAGACACTCCACTTGGCTTGCAAGAGAATTCTTCGTACAATATTAGATTTTTCATTCTAAGACTTACTTTTTGGGTGGTTACGGTTTAGTCATTAGTTAATTTTTTGTGATGACAGTATCTTTTGTATCCGGTGCCATTTTGTTGTTTTGTAGAGACGTGACAAATACAAGCAGTCCAATATCCTATTGCATCGGCGGATCATTACTTTTCCAAATTATAGATTCAATCTCAGGAGATCCAGCGACCAGCTCCATGATAGAATTTAATGAAGTTTTTTTTTCTCATTAGGTCTTTTTAATAAAAACTTCAAAAAAAAAGAATCTAAAAAGATTTTTTAATAGAATGAATGTTTTCGTAAAACCAACGAATATCGCTAAAAAAGTAAATATCACTCATTTAAACAAATGAATATTGAATTCCTCACAGCAACTAATCATTTTCATGAAGACAGGATGAAAACGGTTCTTTACAAAAATCGGAAGATGAGGCAATGAGGAAAGGGAGGCAAAATCTATAATATTTAATCACAAGCAAAAATAAGTAATTCATAGATAAATTTATCACAAATATTCCTCATTTTCGAATGCAGCTCGCATTGCAGCTTCCAACTTGTGCGAATAAAATGTTTGTTTTGCGACGTTTAAGTTATGATATGATCTTTTTAAAACCTTTCTAAACGGTTACAAAAGTTGGGAAATAGTGTTGGTAAATATATGGTAAATATACAAAGAAATCACTCACCAAATTTAATGATGATAATTTAATTGATTTATTTGACGGACCTGATGGTCAGTGGTTAGTGACCCTGATTGCTAAGACGGCCGTGTGTGAGATGTATGAAGTTTATTATTATTCTCTTTATTTATTTAATATCACGTATATTTTCAAATATACACTATGTAAAAAAAATAAAAAAAGTATATCTAAAAATATAAAAAATAGTAGACCCACCGACATGAGGTAAATACAAATATGTTATTTGTTTTCTTCTTCAACTTTCAGAGATTCTCGTCATGAGGAACGGTGATATCAACAATCATTGTGCGACGCTCCAATCGATCTATCACCACAATATCAGGCTTATTGTCAACAATAGTCTTGTCTATAACAATAGATCGATCAAAGTCTGTTCATGATATCCTCCGGGAATGTAGTCTTTGGTATAATGAACGTAATATAATGCTGAATAGCTTACAGGTGACATCTGGGCCGGTATACTATGGGGATCGTGTATCAACTCTGATTTTGTGTTTAGGCGATTCTGCCATACATAGTATAGAAATTAAATATCGCTTACTTAGGCCTCGTATTATTTTGTGGCCGTGGTGCTTACCTGTTTAAAATGGTTTATGTCTATTTTACTTCATTTTTTCTCCTGCTTTGCTAAGGAAGGAGGTGAATTTACTGTATTTTCAACTCCTCCAATTTTCTTCTGATTAATGTCGTTTCGGGTTCCAAGACAGTTTAATTTTTTTCCTGAGACTTCCCGAGCCTCATAACTCGGAGTTACAGTGGTGGGCGTATGAGGGGGATTAGCCAAATATAAAAAAAATATATCAATGCCAATACAACGTGGCCCGACCATTCTCGAGAACTGGGTCGGGCACATACCTGTAGATTTACAAGTTGGTATTTAAGGGCAAGTTGTTGGTGTACAATCCTGGCTACTTGGTTGTGCCTGTGCAAATATTCACCGTTAGCGAGACGAGAACAATAAGAAATAATATGCCTGATTGATTCCCCAGGGCGGTGGCATGCCCGACAGACGTCAACCGTACCATCTTTCAGGATGTACTTCCAGAAGTCATTCGTCATGATAACTTCGTCAATAATCGCACAAACGAAATCTTCAGTTTCTTCGAAGAGATCACTATACCGTAGCCAAGTCGTAGATGCTTTTAAGTCTATATCGGACCCGTTTAGGGCCTGAAAAAACCGACCATGGAGCTCTTTGCCCTTCCATACTTCCCTGCGATCATTAGTACTAAGAGCGAGCGGAGTGAATCCGATATTCACTGCAACTACATTGCGATGCACTCCCACATCAGTATGTAGAAAATATTATTTGAGATTGCATATTTCGCAAATGTGTAAGGTCTTTATATTTAATATTCCGCGACCCCCAAAGTTTCGCGGGATATACAATCTCATAACCGATGAACGTGGGTGGTGCATTCGTAATGCAGTCAGCAGTGTACGAACTCTCCTGTCAAGGGTATCTAATTCAGTCTGAGTCTATCTTAGTATACCAAAGGAATACATCAGAACCGTCAGGACTCAACCATTGCAGGCTCACACCTTGTTGCCCCCTGATGAAAGACTTTTTTTAAGCGGCCAAAAAAGCGTTCCTGCAATGTTTGTTTCATGTTAAATTCTGGTATTCCCAACGACTGTGATTTACCCAAATACTTGTAAGTTTAAGTGGCTGACAGAGATCTGAGTTTTGTTGAATCTGAAAGCTCTGTTTCTTCAGATTCTACTATCAGGGTGTTCTTGACATACATGACTGCACACTTGTCTACACCAAATTCTATTTTGATAGAATTACTAAAGTTTTCTGTAACCTTTAATAATGCTGTCAATTGTAATTTAGTTGGGTCAAGTAATTTCAAATCATCCATATAAATAAGGTGAGATATAACTTGATCATCTTTCTGCAACCTATAGCCTAACCCTGAACCCTCTAATAGGGTGCTAAGAGGGTTCAAAGCCAGACAAAACTACAAGGGACTCAGACTATCACCGTGAAATATACCCCGTTCGATCTTTATTAGTACATCGTTTACCGCATTCTGCCTTCATCCTGGATAGCGAAGTGCTATTTTCCATTGCTCCATACATGCCAGTGGTTAAAAATTGGAGTAATGAACCCGAAGCCGATGCTGCCTGGAATTGAGATGCCAAACGCGCATGTGAGCCTCGGAATCACTTCAGCCAAACGTTGTGCAGTCCGTCTGGACCAGGTGATTGCCAATTCGGTAATGAACGGACTGCACAGCTTACATCTCCTCTATCAATAGTTACAGGTTCCATAGGTGTTAGATTCCCAGGATGCGTCTAATATCCCGCTACCAATCACCATTCTATATGAGTGACAGGCACCGACTAGATGTTACGCTAAAAGTTATTTATGACATTTTCATTGCCATTTCATGCCCATCATTTACACGTGGGCCCGGTTTTCCTCCCATTTCCGATACACCCACTTCTCATTTCTTTGGAACATTCGAATCTGATTATAATTGATCTATTCGTTAATCTGATCTATTCGTTTTTTATACCGCCTTATCCTATTTGCCATGCATAAATTTTCTGCTTTAGAAAATCTATGCGCTCTGTGACACAGGTCATGTACTGTTGGAGACTACTGGTAGTCCCAAAGAATGCTTGTTTCACAAAGCACATCACTCTCGGCCGTGTATTCCCTTTTCGAAAGCTAATTAGCTTACCGATGAGTGTTCTGGTCTCAGCAATACGAGGCTCAATTCTACACTGCCAAGCTGGTCCAAATCTATTGTAGATTTAGGTCGAGTAGTCATTCATTCAGCAATTATTGTATGCCTCACTCATCTTTTAATGATATTATGGAAAAAGTATTAAATTCCAAATCAGACCACAATGTAAATACTTCATTAGTCATTTTTGTTGGTAACAGGGGAAATGTAAACAAAAAGAAATTCTTAGGCTACTTTGAATCATTGTTAAAGTTAGATGTAAATAAAATTGTATTATTTACACTTCCTCTTAGCAAAGGGTTGTCGCAGAAGGAAAGAAATGTTAGATATAATTTAAATATAATGATGCACAACCTAACTTGCCAAATAAATGGACCCTATTGTAATAAATTACATCTAATCGACACTAACAAGCTTGTTAGTAATAATATTTCATTGACGAAAGGTAGACATTACCTTTCTAATTATTATAAGAGACAGATAGCAACTTCGCTATCATATTATTTTTCTATTACACCCAAGAACTTGGCTAAAACTATTGCTTCTATTGAGCAAATTGACATTACCCATAGCGACTTTGCCAATCCGTTGGCAGATATTTCTTTAGACATTAATAAAAATTTAAATGACATACCGAATAATTTACATAATAATGAGATTGACATTTCAAATAATTTAAATTTACTGATAAGACAATAGAGACTACCTCTTGCACTATTAATTTGATCACTAATAGAAAGTTCAATCACAGTAAATTTATTAAAAATAATATGATAAATAATATAAATTTGGTGCATCAAAACATTAGAGGAATGATGGGCAAAGACTTGGAGGTGGAACTGTTCATGAACTGCAATGCAATTGATATTTTTTGTATTACTGAACACTGGCTAAAAGGGGATCAGTTTATGTTCAATTTTGACCACCACCAGGTAGGCAGCTCGTTCAGCAGAAGTACAGCAATACATGGTGGCACTATGATACTCATTAATAAGAAACTTAAGTTTAAAGAGCGCCATGACATTGTTAGTTTATCAGTTGAGCGAACTACAGAAATAGCCGGTTTAGAACTAAAAGGTTTCATAGTAGTATGTGTATACAGACCTCCTTCAGCTATGTATGATTGTATTGAACGTGTTATGGATGAAGTATTAGTTAAAGTAACAAGATCAAAAAAGAAGGTCATCATCTGTGGTGACTTCAATATTAACCTATTGGAAAATTCAAGTATAGTAACCAAGTTCAAGGCACTTTTTCAATCATACAATCTGAAGAACTTGTTCTTGGAGCCTACACGAATCACTGCCACCACTGCCACATGTTTGGACAATATATTTACAGATATTGTTATTAAGGACAAGAAAATAATCAATCAATTACATTCTGACCACTGTGGTCAATTAGTATCTTTCTGTGATAGGTATGAAAAAGTGTCAGAAAAAAGAATTGTGGTGATACCTAAAACCGCAAAGCGTTGTGAAAACTTTAAGGATAAACTTAAAGCTGCTTTTAATAATTCAGTACTCTGTGTAGAGAATAACCCTAATACTTATTATAATAGTTTTTTTGAAACTTTCTCTTCAACATTTAACACCATTTTTACACCAAAAACGCTAGTGGTTAAAGGTAACGCCACATTTAGTGAATGGGCTACCCCTGGCTTACTCAAAAGTAGGAAAAGATTATACGAGCTATACGATGAGAGGAATTATAATAAAAGTGAACAGTTTCATAATTATGTTAAAGAATATTCGAAGCTGTTTAGGAAACTTTGTAAACTGGCTAAGTCTCGTTTTATT